GCGTTGGGGCTGCACCCACTCAGCCAGGGACCCGACTGTTCCAGTCATGAGACACCTTACGAAAGAGTGGGTCCTCGAACATTTGGGCTTTTGCTGAGGCTACACTTGGTTATGAGGAGAAATTCGATGCTCATTACATTTTTTTTTTTCATTCCACACAGTCTCAGGCTCAGGAGCGAAGCAGATGTGGTCTCGGCTTGTCCGCAGCTGCCCCTGCTTTGTCTCATGGACCTGTCCCCAAGGTCCCCATGTGATTTCAGTTACTGAGGACAGTGTGCTACGAGAGGCAGTGGACGTTAGGACAGGGCCCCTGCTCTCAGGGCAGGGCTCAGCCATGCTGGCTGAGCTGACATCTCTGCTTTCCAGAACACTGCAGTCCTGGTTCTGGTCAGCACATATAACTGCGGTGATGGCTTTCCCCTGACAGGCAATACCTCCTGCTAGGAATAAGCCTGAGGGCGCATTTTCCTTACTACTTGAAATCAACCTAAAAGGCACAAAAACTATAAATAGGGTTATTCTCAGAAGCCCAAACTCTTTTGCAAAAACCATACTTCATTTTACAAATTCATATTTTTATTTTTGGAATATAAAATTCCATTGCTGGGGTTAGGGAAGAAGGGGGCTTAAAAAGCTCACTTTAAGTGGGGGCACTTCCTCCTCATTGACAGAGATTCAGACTATGTTAATTCTGCCTGTCTTCTCCCAGACTCTGCACACACCCTCCACCCCCTCATGTAGGGCCTCTGATGTCGCTGAGCTTACTTCAGCTACCATCAAGCGTGGAAGCCTGGTGGGACAGATGCTTACTATTGCTCCAGGTGATGGTGACTTCTCTAGTACTTTAATTCAATCTGGAAACCTCTCAGGAAAACAAACAGGAGTTCTTGCATTTTATAAAGTCCTAAAAGCAAAATACTGTTTCTGAGAGACGATTAAGAATGATAACGACTATAGAGGTTCCGGGTTTCAGGTAATTAATGCATGACAGGATGATATTTTCCCACCCAAGCTTGAAGTAGGAGATTTGGGTAGAGAAGAGTCGCTTGAAGCAGCAAGCAGAAAAGACGGCACAGGTCACGTTGGCTTAAGCACAAACATCCTCTTGCTGAAATGATTGTCAAATTGCCTGTATGTGTGTGGCCAAAGCCTCACCCAAAATATTTCTCAGCAAAAATATTTGGCATGAGCAAAGTTTCCTTTTCCACCTAGCCTGGAAGAACATTTCTGAAGGGCCTCACTCAAAGCGCCTGAGAACTAGACCGTACACCCTCTTATTTCTGTGGCAGGTTCTCTTCACACGTGGAAAGGAGAGCTCCACCGACAAGACTCTTCCTCTCACGCTCACATGACCACTTGCGCAGCACAGCCTCCCCAACTCGCTGCACTTCTTACAGACAATCCCAAGTGCATACAAGAAAAAGTTTAAGAACAAAGATTTTTCCATACATGTAATGAATCACTCTCAGACTAAAATTGTCCAGCAAAAAAAATACTGCTTTATTGGATCTATTTTCTAACTACAAAGACAGCTGACAGAAATATCAAACATTTCCTTTTCATATGACAGTCTACACCAAGAAATGTTGCATGCAACTCGTACGACGCTAAATGCAGGATAAATAACGGGGCTGCAGGCGGGAGAGCCAGCCTGCGGGGCGGGCGGAGCGTGTGTGCACGAAGCCACGTGTCTTCAGCTCTGCACAGTCGGGGGCAAATGTTACAAATATGGCTTTCAGATTTTTGTTTCTTTCTGCGAGTTAAAAAAAAAAAGGCAGACACAATCCTACAGAAGAGTATTTGAAAGGTAATTCTTTCTGTGGGAGAGCTCTTCCTCCACCCTGACTTCATGCTCACTGACTTAGTAACGTACAACCTCCACCCATGGGTGCAGTTCGGGCGTGTTCCATAAGGGGGCATTAACTCCTAAGGCACAATTATTAGGGTAAACATGTTTTAATTAAACCATGCTTTTTGGTTATATGAAACAATAGGTCACTGCTAGTAATAATGTGTAATAAGCAGTTAATTGTACAAAATGCGGTAGGAAAACCTACGCTATCTGTCAACAGTAACTAATCTGAAAACATACTACACAGCGCTGCATATTAAAACATTGTTTTTGGTAATTGTTTTCTTAGATGAAGCAGAGAGCTATAAGGCTTCTGTGAAATAATAATCTTATAACTGAACAAATATATTACACTCCTTTTGTAACGTTATTTACAATTACTTTCTAATTTTGCTGTCTGGTCGCCTGCGGGCATTTCTAATGCACTGCTCCTGGCTTTCTAAAGTGCTCATCTAAGTGTGAGATGCCATCTGTCAGAGGGGGACAGACCCCATGGAAGTAGCCGGAGAGCCAGGTGTGGAGTTTTAGGTGCATTTTCCAAAATGGACACTGTTTATTGCTAACGTGGAAGCCCTTGCCGGGCAAAGACTGATCATCACCATCTCTGTTATTTATTATTTATACATAAATATATGCCTGTATATGTACATACATGCAAACGCAAGACCTATCCTGTAACAGATAGATTGTTTTCTTGTCCAGTAACCTATTTTGTGCTATTCAACTTACTTGTGCTATGTTCGAAGCCAAGATTAAAAACAAAACTCCTAGCATGCTACTATTAACAATCCTATGGTTTTAGTAATGCAGAGGAGAGAAGTACATTATGAAAGAACGGAGATGACAGATCGGTAGATTTCTAAAATGCACTGGGTAAGGCAACAACATTGTATATTATAGCCCAGGAAAAGTTGAAAGAAGTAGGAAACTCACGCTGGGTTTCTCTCACAATCCCTAGCTTGCCAGTATTCTCTTAATTTACACAAAAAGCCTCAAAATGAAATGCTTTTATAGACTTTGCTCCTACAAACGCTCTCATGGAAGCGAATTCAATGCTCAGGTCTACGATGCCCTGACGTGATGGTTAAATAAGGCACTTCCAGTATTGAAATCCAGGGGCGCCCAAAGGGTCAGACTTGGAGCGGGACGGCCACGCCGTGGCAGGCACCTGTGGGGTCTGTCTCCTGCACTCCCCCTATCCCCGCCTCACTTCTGTTTTCTTGAGATGATTTTTCCGTCAAGAGATACAGTGGTTTGTCTTCTTTCCTTCCTTCCTTCCTGTTAGAGAGTGACTTCTTAGTACATAGAAGGTAATCTTCAGGTCCTAGCATTCAGTAAGTTGGAAGTGTGGAGTGGTACCAGGTGTATTCAGTTTATTTTGTCAAAAGTCTTTGCATGCTGAAGCTCAACTGTCCCCGCTGAACTGACACCACACAGCTTCTGAGTGGGCTCCAACGTGGCAAACTACGCATGGGTGTTTGTGCTGGAGAGGTCATTCCGTATTATTTCATTTACTGCAAGAAAACAAAAATAGATGAAGGATTAGGGAAACAAGGACTGTACGTCAAGACTGTATGTAAATAACAAAGAAATGCCATCAGCCACGCTTCTAATCAGTTATGTTCAGCCTGTGACAAGGTGTCTCCCAAAGGAGCCCGCGTTTCCTTCCTGGCCCCCACGGTCCATGAGTGTCCTGAGCCAGCGGCACTGGGCTTGCCCAGGGCCCAGCCACTCCAGCCTGTGAGCATGGGACCAACAGGTCTGATGCTACAATAGTGCCCAGCTGAAGACAGGCGCCAGGTGCGGCCACAGTGCCTAGGAGACACGGCGAGTGTGTCCCCGCAGTGGCTCTGTTTCAGGGCCGAGGGGGCACACCGTGGGCACCTGCGCCCACCCTCAGTCGGGGCTCTTCCTTCATTGTTCCTCTCCCTGTAGATGGTTGGGCTCAGAGGCCCCACAGCCAGCATGTCCTCTGTCAGCGTGTGATTTTTGGCAGACAGGGAGGAAGTGAGCAGGGCTGGCAGAGGCAAGTGACCTGCACAACAGCCCCTCTCCCCGCCCGCCCGCGATTGGCACCAAGATAGGGGAGATGTCACCTCGTCCCATTTTCCTAGCAGAATTTGGAGGTGGGGTACATGTGTTTACGTCATGGAATCACCCGAGTTTCCCTTCACCGAGGGCTGGAGCACCCGGTGCCTGATAAACCTCACACAGCCTGGCAGGCGTGGCCTGGAGGGTGGCTTCCTGGAGGGACGGGGGGCCAGCGTCTCGTCACCCCCACTCCCTTCCCTAAACTCCCTTTCAACACCCCCATGACTATTTTTAAGAATAACAATAATAAAACGCAGTTGGGAAGCCAGGACCTGTGTCATGGAACCGATGGCAGAACTCGGAATGCCAGCTACATGCAAACGCCCCAACCTGCTGGCCCCAGGGCACGGTCTGGCTACTGTCCCCTGTGAGGCGCCCTCACCGCCCCCTGCAAGGACGAGGTCACCAGCGCAGTCCTGGCACTGCTCCTTCTGGGAGCTGAGCTCATGGAATAGACACAGAGATGACACAGTGGGCTTCCAGGCCAGCCTTCCTCCAGGGGCAGGCAGTGACTCTCAGGCTCCTTGTGGGCACAGGGACTTGATAAGCGACCAGAGGTGACAAAGCCGCCCTCTCTGAAGAGGGCTCTGGCCTTAGGGAGGAAAACACCAGGAGAAGCTCAGGATCCTGCCTCCCTGTGACTCTTCACAGCCACTAATGAGGAGACAACAAGGTGCAGGTGCTCACAGCTGGTCCCCGACTGCATTCAGGACGCGACCTGTCCCCAGAGTGCACAGGGCAGCTCTGACCTGTCCCCAGAGTGCACAGGGCAGCTCCGTAGCGACTTGCACTATCCATGACTCCCGAGACACTCACCAGCCTGAGCTGCACTAAGCAGCAGGCACCGTGGAAGGAAGGAAAGACCCCCGCGTGCAGCACAAGGCACACGTCCCACCCAGAGCCCCAGGGCTGTCTTTCCAGCCAACCCTGCCATGGAAGCGCAGCCACTCGAGACCCTCACCTGCTGCTGTGCTCGGTCCCCACGGCACAAGACGGGGAGGCCCTAGAATTAGAGGTGATTTAACTCTCCTTTCCCATTGCACCTGTTTAGGCTTTCTGTCAAAATTTATACTTTGCCACATCGCTGCCACATCAAAGAACCTCTTGACAAAGAAAAATCACAAATCTCGAGTCTCTTTTAGGGTATTTTCTTAAGAAAGAAAAGGCGTCTCTACACTTAGGATTTCTCTGTGCCACATACTTGATGAAGGCACAGAGCTTGACTGCAGAGAGACTGTTCCCGTGGTGACGTGGTGACAGACACCCATGGCAGTAACACAGTGCCCGCCATCGTGCAGCCCTGCACTGTGCATCTGTGTAGCACTGGCAGATGACAAGCTTCTGTCACGGGTGTCTCCTTGTTCTACCCTACACCAGCCCTCACCCAGGGGTGCAGCAGGTCCCCAATGCCCGATCCTCGGATGAGGTTTCCAGGGCAGGGGCGGGCTAGAGGAAAAGCCTGCTCTGCACTCTGGGATCAACGTCCCTTCCAATGGGTGGCGGGTACCCAGTGCTCCTGAAACCAACACACGAAGGGAGGAGGAAGCCACGGCAGGAAGGAGCCAGCCGGCGAGAGCCAGAAGTGCGGGTCAGTGCAGAACCAGATCCCACCTGAACAGAAGGGACAGACCCTCAAGATGCACCACCCTGAAGCAGTCAGGGTTTGATTCCTCATCCACTTTCCGAGGACAACTGAGGCCCAGACGAGAACCTGCTCTAGTATAAACAGTAAAAACCGGGTTCCAAGAGGCAGGATGGCAAGAAGGAGAGGAAACAGCAGGAGAGGGTGGCAATGACGAGATGACAGGAAACCTGAGAGTAACAATGAGGGGACAGGAGGGAGGTGTGAGGGGTAGTGATGAGGGGACAGAAGGGACACCTGAGGGACAGTGATGAGGGGACAGGAGGGAGGTGTGAAGGACAATGATGAGGGGACAGAAGGGACACCTGAGGGACAGTGATGAGGGGACAGGAGGGACACCTGAGGGACAGTGATGAGGGGACAGGAGGGACACCTGAGGGACAGTGATGAGGGGACAGGAGGGAGGTGTGAGGGGTAGTGATGAGGGGACAGGAGGGACATCTGAGGGACAGTGGTGAGGGGACAGGAGGGAGGTGTGAGGGACAACGGTGAGGGGACAGGAGGGAGGTGTGAGGGACAATGGTGAGGGGACAGGAGGGAGGTGTGAGGGACAATGGTGAGGGGACAGGCGGGAGGTGTGAGGGACAACGGTGAGGGGACAGGAGGGAGGTGTGCATCGTAATACACTGGGAAGTGAGCAGGCGTGAGGGTTGCAGTGATTGGGTTGGGTCAGGCAGTAAGCAAAGCGGCTGAGAACCTTCTAGTTACTCAGGGTCGTGCAGACCACAAGAAAAATAACAGCTGCTTGAAAAGGCGAAAGCGGAAGCCACCTCAGAAGTGGGCTTCCCCCGCTGCCCACTGGGACACCTGAGCCTCCGAGGAGAGCCAGGGTGTGGGTGGGAGGGAGAAATGACTCAGTGTGTCCTCCAGCCTTCCAGGGTCCCCCATCACAGGCCATAGTGGGCCGCCTCACAGCCAGCCTACTTCCTCCGTGTCCAGTGGGGCTTTCACCGTGTTGTCAGCAGAGCTAGAGGGGCTGCCCGGTGAGCAGGGCTCGTGGACCATCTCTGTTGCCAGGTGGTCAGATGATCAACCATCCCTGCCACCCCCAAACAGCCTGTGGGCTGCAAGTGCCATGTGGGCAGTTCCCACTGTTGTCCCAGCCTCACAACGCCAAGTTAGGATCGTGCCCAAGAACCATTACACAGGCTCAAACCTCCTCTAGGATCTTCCCCAGGGACCCCATGGGATTGTGCGGGGTAGGCAGCAGCTGACAGGGAAGATGGGTGACAATAAAACTGTGTAGTGGTGACGTGCAGCACGGCTGAAGACAGTACAACACGAAGCCGTACTCTCCCACACACATGACTTGTGCCACAGCCACTAGGAAAAGACATGTTTGTTCCCATTTCACAGATGGATAAAGAGCACATCGCCGGCAGGCAGGCCAAGGTCGCGCAGTTCATGGCGGCGGGGCCGAGCGCGACAGCGCGGGATCCTGCGCCCCACTCCTTTCCCCAGCACCACCGTTTCTCTTCCATGAGGTCATGGTTCCGAGTCTATATCAGTTCACGGCTGTCACGGGGGGCTCTGTGCTGGTTATTTTGGGGGTGGCTTTCTCTCTTTGATGTGGTTGTGTCGATGACACCTACGGTTTCCCACAATGCCTTCTCTCTACTGATAATTTCCATCTTCTTATTCAGCTTTTCCACCGACACAAAGGTTTTTTTTTCTTTGTAGAATTATTTTGAACTGCAGGTAACATGTGACCCTCACAACTTGTCAGAGACCTGAAAGAGGAACCTTTGCTTTGCTCAACATCAGATGTCCCTGCAACAGGATGTGGTGAGCTGTCACACCACAATTTCATTTAATAAGAAGGGTTTTTTCCCTTATATTTGATTTTTCTCTAAAATGCTCCTAAGGTGGAAACTATTGCTTTTTTTCCTAAAACTTGTGTGTGGCAGTCCAAATCCCTATTCACCCTGGGATATGCAGGTTAGGGTGTGCGTGTGTTTGAAAGCACCGGCACATGTATTATTTTGATCCTCACAACAATCTTATGAGAGAGTAAAGGCAGATACTGTAATTACCAATTTTGTTGATGGAGAGACCCCGGAAGCCCAGAAAGTGGAAGTGGCAGTCTGTGGTCCTGGAGCTGAGGCCCTGCCTGGTGGGCTGCACTCGGGCAAGCTGCACCCAGCCCCTGCACATGCCAAGCACCCTCTGATCCTTCCAGATCTTGCCTGCTGGTCCCACTGGCAAATCTACAGGGTTAGTTGTAAATTTTTAAAAAATACTTACTAGGAAAGTCATAAAAGGACTGGGGCGGCTGGCTAGGACCCCTGGCTGGAGCCTGGAGGTGGCCACAGACACAGGGACAGGAGGATTCCAGCCCTGCCCTGGCCAACGTCTGGCATCTGGGCTGGCCAGACCACTATTTCATGTCCACTCATCACTCTGTCCCTTCTGCTTTGGGCCCTCACTGTTTTTGCCTGCATGGTACTCAGTGCACACAATCTGGTGTCTCTGAGGTGAGGAAAGGTTAAGGGTTCATGTTTATTGTTCCTGTCTTTTCTGTGAAACGCTTCTCTCAAAACAGAGCAGCACATCAACACGGTCACCCACCCACCACGCGCAATGTACAAACACGGTGACCTTTTGTTTGAGCTCAAAACTATTTTTTTCAGTCATTTCTCCTGTACTAGCTTCTATGTGCTTTAAAAATCTTTTCAGAAAGGTAGGGCTGGGGTGAGGGGGTGGAGGGGCCGTGGCCAAGGGACTCACATGAAGTCTGAGCTGCTGCCTGTTTCCCACCGCACTAGAAGACAAACATGGCTT